TTCCTCTTCTGGACAGACGGTTTTAACTCAAGCCTCCACTTTATAAACTCAAAAATTGCTCAACCTACAAATTACCTGTAATCTAAAACCAATAGTATGAGGCCACTTTTGTGACTTCTTTCAATGTCTTTTCAAAATTACACACACCCGCACCTACCAGGATTACACTAGTCTGCAGTCTGTCAACCTTGCTCCGCCCCTCCTCCCACTTCCTCTTCCCTATCAGGATTCATGCTCTAGTCTAGACTCTGACCTTTGGGCTACAGTTATTGTAACCAGTTCATCATCCTTCCATACTGCAGCCAAATTACTTGAACTACTAGAGGACATTCTACATAATTTGCCACAAAAACTTTAAAGAATGTTATCTCCATTTTCACTATGAGAAAATGGAGACACAGAGAAGTAAGTAATTGCCCTTACCCAGATATGAAGTAATAAACCATAACTTGAACTCAGGATTTCCAATTTTCAATCCTATACTCTTCAGAATCAATTAGAAATAGTTGAAAATTGCCAACAATTTATGAGAGTAATAAAAACCATAAAAACTCTAGAAATCAATATATAAGAACTTTATAGGAAAGAAACTTTGTTAAATTATATAACGTAAAACCTCAAGAAATAACAGACATATCATTTTCATGGATGGGGCATCCTAAAATAATGAAAAAGCCAATTTCCCCCTTATCTCTAACCAAAATAATGTCCCAACCAAAATCACAGCAGGATTTTGGGAAAACTTGATAAACTGATTCTAAAATATACATGGAAATAGAGCCCATGAATATCTTGGACAATTTTGATTAAAAAAGAGCACATTAAACAGCTTTAAAGATTAAAACAATATGACACCGACATAGAAACTAAATAATTCATAGACAAATCCATGCATGTAGAGGAACTTGATGTAAAGTCCCCAGGAGTAAATGGAATACTTGGTAAATGGTATTAAAAAGATCAATTTCCTATTTAGAAAAAAAGAAAGTTTTATCCTCATACCACATAAAAAATTCTGGATCAGTGAAGGTCTCAATGTGAAAGAAAAGCAATAACACTAATAACAGCACAGTACAATACCATATACAGCCACATAAATATGAGGACAAATTTTTTACCGAAAATATTCATCAGAAAAGAAGGAATTACCTTATACATAGGTCCCTAGGGCTTTTTCTTTTCAAATTAAGGCCACTCTCTCAAGGTATTTGGAGAAGATGTTATACTAAAATGATATCAGTTAATACATCCATGAGAAGAATTAAATTGTTTTATAAAATGTGAGAGTGGAAGCAACAATATGCCTACATTAATATATTACATTATAAAATTTTAAGTAAATGTAATTTGACTACTTCCCTATAACTTCTAGATCACTAACATTTCATATATTAAAATTTGTCAAAAAACTTTAAAAATATTCTTATTGAGAAAATGGCATATTACTTTTTCACTTTATAGTCCAGGAAAAATTGTGACTTGGTTGTCTTATGGTTAGAAAGCATTTCTTAAGATCATAAAAGCACAAATCATAAGGGTTTTGAAAGTCAAAATTAAATCTACTCAGGAAAAAAACTGTGTATCAATTTAACTGATGAGCAGCAAACTGTAAGAAGGCAAATGTAATATTTATACTGACATAAGATCACTATATTGACTACATTAGAAATCCTGACAAATTTACAAGACAAGCAACGGCAGTTTTTTAAATAGACAAAGACATGAATTGGCAACTCACACAGGGAGGACTCTATAAAAACATCCCTCACTAGTAATGAGAGAAAGGAGAATTAAAATGAGATACCACTTTCCACCCACCACATTGCCAACATTTGAAAGTCAAATAATCTCAACTGTTAGTGGTGACCAAGGAAAATAAGAACTACTTTGCTCTGTTGGTGGGAGCATATTTATTATCCCTGAATTATAGAAATTACATACTAGTTGAGTGAATAAAATTAACATGTGAAACAAGGCAGGATATCCTTGAGAGTAAGGCCTGAACTGAGTGCTTCCAAGACTCCAGCCCTGAGTCTTGGAAGAGTTCAATAAAGACCAATTAGGGCTGCAGGACTAGGCAGAGGTTCGCAGAAGAGGTCAAACCTGGGTTGGATCTATAGCACTGGTTAATGAGAACAAGCAGAACAAAACAAAACAAGAAAGGTACTCTGGTGAGAGGAAAAAGCCTGGATAAAGCCTGCACTTAAATAACACAGACATGATACTGTCAAGAAAGAGGGAGAAAACATATTCATTGAAGAACAGGACTCCAGCTGGGAAGAGTGGATAATATTTTTTATTAGAAGGGGACCCAGCCCTAGCCAATGAGGCTCAGTTGGAGCGTCATCCCATATACAGAAAGGTAGCAGGTTTGATCCCCAGTCAGGACACGTACAGGAGGCAACTGAAGCAACTGATCACATTGATGTTTCTCCCCCCTCCTCCCTCTCTCTTCTCCTCTCTCTCTAGAATCAATGTATATATATATATATTTTTTTAATGGTTAAGATGATAATCTTTTTTTTAATTTTTTTTAAATATTATTTTATTTAGTTACTTTTCAAGTACATTGTTTTTTTCATCTATTTCTCCCATCCCACCGTACCCCCCCGCCCGGTCTCCCCCCTCCCTCCCATTCCCCCCCCCAGTCCTCATCTCTGTGTCTTTCATACTTGTTCCTCAAAATCCCTCCCCCTTTTTCCCCTTAAGTTCCCTTCCCTCTCCCCTCTGGTCGCTGCCCACTTGTTCTCTATTTCAGTGTCTTTGTTTTTATTCTGTTTGCTTGTTTGTTTTATTCTTTAGCTTCCTGTCAAAGGTGAGATCATATGGTATTTGTCCTGCAATGCCTGGCCTATTTCACTCAGCATAATGCTTTCCAGTTCCATCCATGTTGTTGCAAAAGGTAGTAGCTCCTTCTTTCTCTCTGCTGCATAAAATTCCATGGTGTATATGTACCACAATTTTTGGATCCATTCATTTACTGACGGGCACCTAGGTTGCTTCCAACTCTTGGCTATTGTAAATTGTGCTGCTATGAACATTGTGGTGCATAGGTTCTTTGAAATTGATGTTTTAGGATTCTTGGGGTATAATCCTAGCAGTGGAATTGCTGGGTCAAAAGGCAGGTCAATTTTTATTTTTCTGAGAAAATTCCATACTGTTTTCCATAATGGTTGTACCAGTCTGCAATCCCATCAACAGTGAACTAAGGTCCCCTTTTCCCCACACCCTCTCCAACATTTGTTGTTTGTTGCTTTGTCTATTATAGCCATCCTGACTGGTGTAAAGTGGTATCTCATTGTGGTTTTAATTTGCATCTCTCTGATAGCTAACGATATTGAGCACCTCTTCATGTGTCTCTGGATATTCTGTATGTCCTCTTTGGAGAAGTGTCTGTTCAAGTCCTTTTCCCATTTTTTAATTGGGTTCGATGTCTTCCTAGAGTGGAGTCGTGTAAGTTCTTTGTATATTTTGGAGATTAAACCTTTGTCTGAGGTATCATTGGCAAATATGTTTTCCCATACAGTTGGTTGTCTTTTTAATTTAATACTGTTTTCTTTAGCCATGCAGAAGCTTTAAAAAAGGAGACCCAGAGTAGAGAGGGCCTTGAATGCTTCTTGCATATTATAAGTGACATTCTAATAGAATGCTTGATCAGAAAACATCTAAACCCATCATTTTACAGATGAGGAATCTGATGCCCAGAGAGGGGCTGGGAATTATCTAAGGTTACACAGCATAACAAAAGCAGCTTTAAGGCTTGACTGGCAGGAATTTCTGGATAAGTTGGAAAATAGGTAGAAATCAGGAAGACATAGAAAGCAATAAGAGACAGATGTAGAATGCTAAAGCAAAAAGAAAAACATCTCAAAGGGAGAACATATAATACTTGAAGGTAGATTCAAAACAGGTTCTGGAAAAAGAGAAAGAAGTCAATGATGCTAAGTTCCCCTGTGAAAATATTTGCAAAGTTATTGAGCACCTTCACTATGTGTCAAATACTGTTCTAAGCATCTGACAGGTAGTAACTTATTTAAGCTTCACAACAGTCTTATTGATGTGGGCACTACTGTAATCATCATCCTTTTACAGAATATGACATCAAGGCACAGAGAGGTTAAGCAACTTGCCCAAGGGTACACAGCTAAAATTTGCAGTCTCAATTGAATTCCCAGCAGCCTTGTTCCATAGCCCACACTCTTAACCCACACATGTGCTGCTCTTAGAAATGAAGTGATTCAGAGAGGTTTCAGCTCCTGGAAAGAATTCGTGTTTTCCCTTAGACTAGATTCTGGTACAATGCAAAGAACAGAGACTCCCTCACCAAAACTCAAATAATGTCTTTCTTATTAATGCAAATTAATAAGAAAGTAATTACTTTCTAATTAACTGATTAATAAGAAAGCAACTCCCAGACCCTACAGAAGGCAAGAAGCCAAGTGTATGCAAAGTAATTTAATCCCAGTAGTCATGTGTCCCTGGCCCCACTATCCCCCCAGGAGAGCAGGAGGAGCCATTCGGGCCAAAGAACAGACCCTTTGGAAGGACACGTGATTTCTGGGCCCTTCCAGGCTACTCAAATGTCACTTCCAGAGTCTGATTATACTGGTTTCACAGAACCCGTATGACCAAGTTAGGATAGCATCTGAAGGTTCATTTTTCCCATTCCTGCACTCCTGACCGTGGTGAAGGTGGAAGGGAGTTACATACCTCTCAAGGCAGTGAAGTACAAAAATACCCCGAAGCAAAAACTCCATTTTGTGAGCTGATGATCAAAAATAGCTCTGCCTTCATTTCTCACATAGCTTCCCACAGTGATGGGAATGGAAGCCATTGTGAGGCGCTAAGACCAGGGAACGGAGGCAGCTGAGGAGTTAGGGGTGTTACCACGTCCCTCCCTAAGGAAGACAAGCTGTGTTCAGGTTAAGACGTGTTGAATTTGAAATGATAACTCACTCCAGTTCTCATTTCAGAACAAGATATCCAGAAAAAAAACATCATGAGTTATAAAAATTTATTGCCTTGAAGTGGGAAGGATTGTGGTCATGATAGAAAGGCCACTCTGGGTTCCCCTGGATGCAACCTGTACGCCCACACACACAGCGGGGGGAGTCCCAGGCCTTCTGTTCCGAGAAGGAGCAATCCCAGGCAGCAGGTAAGAAACCTGAGCACCCCCTGCTAGGATGGCCGAAGGTGTTGGCATCAGACGCTGATCAAGAAGAATCAGTCTGAGGAGAGAAAAGAATGGAGAAAAGCCATCAGGGGGATCCCCATCCTTCCCAAGGGCCCCTCCCTGCCTGCAGCACACCCTGCACAGGCTGATCTCTCCTTGTGCCCAAATCATCTCCAACCACCCTTTTTACACCTCCCCATACCACTTCTCTGTCACTCACGGCCATCTGTCACCCATAACTGTGTGTGTTACTAGGACCGTAACAAGGTGGATGATGCCCATGGTGCCCAATATAGCCTCCCCACCAAAGGGCCTGAGGGCTACTCTAAGTCCTCCCCACGCCCAGGATAATCCTAGCACACCTGCCCAAGCACCACTGTATGGCTTCCTCAGCCCGCCAGCCCCTCCAGATACCCTGATGTACCACCTGAGCAAGGCTTCCGGAAATAGATGATGAGGACCAAGCCAACAATGATGCCCAGCACACCCAGGCCGAAGGCCACGCCGCACAGCACATTCTCCAGAAGATCTGAGGGCAGTGCATTGTTGGGCACTGGAAACAAAAGGGAGCAGAGTGGGCCTCGAGACCTTGTTGGGGAGCTCCCCACCCAGGGGAATGATGTGTCTGGGATGACAAGGGAGAAACTGAGGCATAGAAGACTGAGGTTAGCTCGGAGCGAGAATGGACTAAACAAAGTCCAAGGAAAGAAAGAAGGCCCTCCCACGGGTCTATCCCTTTTTATCCCCAAATGAACCAGGCTTCCAGGGAAGAGAGCCTCACCCCAATAGGCAACTGCTGTTTGACCGTCAATCTCATGAGTCACGACACAGGAGAAAAGGTCAGAAGGTGCCGGTGTGAAGTTTAAGTAAGAAAAGGCTTGGAAGCTGAGTCCATCAATGGCTGAGACAAAAGTGGGCCCAGCACCTTCCACAGGGGCCAAATGATGCTGCCAGGTCACCGTCAATGCGGGTGGGAAGAGATTACTGACAAAACAGACCAGCGTGTTGGGTTTGCCGAACTCCAGGGGCTTCAGTGTGAACACCTCAGCAACAGGAATTCCTGAGGGGATTGAGGTATGAGGGAAAGAAGGGACAGTTTAGATGGTGCCCCAGTGTTCGGAGGGGTGGGCACAGACAGAGTCAATGGGGACAAGCTTTGTGGGGAGAGATGAGGGAGGTGTTGGGGCTCCGAGGAGTCTTCTTCTAAGTGAGAACCAGAGCTGGACTTAGAGGCAGAGCCAGATCCAGGCCACTCTAGACATTCACCCTGACTTCCTGTAGCACTTCCTGTCAGACCTCACAGTGGCATCTAATCACAAGCTGTCTTCTCATTAAAACTTGGGTATATCATGCACTCTCCTCTTCCAGCTTGCTAAGCATAGTAACACAAGCACTCACATTCCCTGGGCTTCCGCTGCTCCCTGCTGACTTCATCAAGTGTAATAAATACAATAGCTTTGAATGCCTGTACATCTGGGCACTCGTCTCTGACCCACAACAAAAACAGGCACCAGAGGAGGTGGGGAGTATGGTGTAAAGGGGAGCAATTCAGATTATAGATTAACAAGGTTAAGAATGTAGCCCCTACCCCACCCTGAAAAGCCCCTGACCTCTACACTCTGGGATTCGCCCTTCAAGTTTTGGGCCTATGTCATGGATCATGGCTTGGCAGAATGCTTTGTCAAAGAAAATGGTGGAATTATCTTCAGACTTCTGAGCCCAGTCAGCAAATTCAGGCAGGCGAGGCACTCGGGTGTTCTGGGAAAAGTCGAAGGAGAAAAGCTGGTCATTGTCGTAGGTCTCAGACAGTCCCATGCTGGGACTCCATTTTTGACAGTACATTGTGTGCTGGAACGTGTGGTTCAGCAGGTCATCTCTCCACCCTGCAGTAGGGGTACAAAGGAGACAGGGTGGGGTTCAGGTAGGGGAACCTCCTCCTCCTCCTCTTTGGCTCAGAAAACAGGTAGGCCTGACCCTGACTGGCGTAGCTCAGTGGATTGAGCGCTGGCCTGCAAATTAAAGGGTCACTGGTTCGATTCCCAGTCAGGGCACAAGCCTGGGTTGTGGGTCAGGTCTCCAGTAGGGAGTGTGTGAGAGGCAACCACACATTGATGTTTCTCTCCCTCTCTTTCTCCCTCCCTTCCCCTCTCTCTAAAAATAAATAAATAAAATCTTTTTAAAAAGAAAGAAAACAGCCAGGCCTGCTGCAATCAGAGGGGCACTGGCTGGGTATAACCCCCTGTAGTGTCTTTTATTTGGGCTGTCCCACCTAGTGGGGGTGAAAAAGAAATTATTGGGATCTCTCCAAACTACCTCACCCATAAAAGGCCAAGTGTCTAAAGCTGTAAAAAGTAAAAGTGGTCTACTGTCTAAAGTGTCACAGGATTGGTTGTGTGTTTGTGCTCTACACAAAGGCACCAGCTAAGGAGATAGCTGGAGGCTGAAATCCAACCTGCATTCTGCTCACCAAGCCACGAGTTCTGGCAGAGGGCTGTATCCTCCCAAAGGAGAGATGTCTGTCTAATGCACAGGCCACACAGTCACTTGTGGAGGTCCTGGATGGGTTCCCCAGTCTTAGAAGGGAGGGTGAATGAATGGTCATGGCCTCCCCAAGGTATAGATGACACTGTCCCTCCTCCATTCAGACAAGTGTGATAAACTGAAAAAAACATCTCCAGGTTTCTTTTCAGCCACTTCCTTGGCACCAGACCTCTCTGAAAACATTTCTCCCTCCTTGCTCAAGTGTCCAGCTCTTGCAATGACAGGACTGGGGGAAATGATTCCATAGCTGCCAGAAATAATCCCTAATCTATGAAACTTCCATCAGGAATCCCTCCAGCTAGCAAAAAAACCTACCCAATATTCCTATACCTAGAATAATAGACATTTAGAGTAAGAGGGATCTTCCAGAATATTCTTTCATTCTGTCCCATCCTTACCAGCTAATGAAATTAAGGACCAATAAGCCTTGGCTGGTATGGCTCAGTGGAATGAATGCCGTCCTGCAAACAGAAGTGTTGCCGGTTTGATTCCCAGTCAGGGCACATGCCTGGGTTGCCAACCAGGTCCTCAGTAGGGGGTTTTTGAGAGGCAACCACATATTGATGTTTTGCTCCCATTTTCCCTCCCTTCCCCTATCTCTAAAAATAAATAAATAAAATCTAAAAAAAAAAAAAGACTTTTCCCAAATTGCCAGGTGAGTTGATAACAGGCTACGGAGTGACTCGGGTGGAAATAACGCTTGCTTCATTCAAATCTCAGCTCTACCACTTCCCAGTGCATGAATTTGCACGAGTTACTTAAATTCTGAGTCTCATTTTCTTCATTTGAAAAGTGGATATTATAATCTGTGCTTCAAGAGACTCTTAAATGAAGTATGTAAAGTACCCCTGATACTGTCAGCCACCCACTCATAATAGCTTTTTCCCAATTCTGTTAGTCTCCAGTATCCCACAGTTCTTCCAACCACTTACTAAGCACAGGGCCCTTCTTCCAGTGCTCTGGGTTGGCTCCCTAGGCTCGAGTCCCAACAGGATTGAAGCAAAGGGGAGGTGTTGTCTTACCTTGAGGGGCGGTCCAGGATTGGGGCAGCAACCACAGAAGGTGTAGGAGCTGCAGCAGCACAGGCCCGGGCTGCCACTGATGATCCATCACTGCACCCACACTAGGCTGGCTAGGAGTGGTCCACCAGCTCTCCAGACTCAGTCCCCAGATCATGTTCCACCAGCTCACTTCCAATAGTGTCCTTGCCATTTTGGCTAAACCAATCACAGAAGTGAATGCTTTTACATCACCAGTCTCTGGGGAGAGAGGCCCTGGGCCAGCAACCTCCTGAAACTGCTCTTTCACAGGCCAGAATGAGGTGTGTAAATGGGCTGGGTAGGCAGGAGTGCAGGAATGTCTGCCTCCTGGTGGCGATCCCTCAGTGTTGGCTACAGCCTGAGCCTGGAATCTTAACCCCATGCCCTGCCGGTGAAGCAAGCTACTCTCCCCACAGCATACCCCCAGGGCTCTCCAGACTCTGCTTTCTGCCTACCCTGTGGGATGCCCCCAGGCCTCCTCCTCTTTCTCAGAGGATATTCTCCTTCCATCATCAGCTCAAGTCTGTACAGCAGTGCTAGAAAATACATTGGTGAATAAAGCATATTCCTGCCTTCAAAAGCTTAAAGTCTAGCATGCATGTTTATAATAAATATACAACAATGTAATGTATTTAGTTAAGAATGTGTCAAGTGCTTTGGAAGTAGTCATTTTATGAAGTTGAATAAGTGAGGCATATCAGGAAGGCTTCTAAGAGTCTTAAAGAAAAAACAAATTGACTAAAAGAACATAAGGAAGAGAAAAGCATTCTGGATCAAGGGACAGGCAAATGGGTAAAAGGCTGTCATTCAGAACACCTTCCGTGAGGCGCTTACCCCTGTGAGGTCAGATGTGAATGTTGTGCAGACTGCTCATCTGTCCCTGTTCAGTCACGGGGAGGGAGCGGGCAGCGTCAGGATGAGCTAGAACCAGATCACATAAGCCCTGTTTTGGCACAGGAGGGTCTGGCTTATACTTAGCAGATAATGGCAATACTAAAACTGAAGAGTGGACAATCAAAAAAATTTTTAAATGTTCTAATATTTTAAACAATGGAGCCTAGAAAGAATTGAAGCAAAACTGTTGGTCACAAGTCAGTAGTATATGAAAACAAAATAAAAAGTTGCACACACACACTGCCCTCGTGTAGCACTATAGCAGTGATACAGATGACAAATGTTAAGACCCCGAGTTAAGGTATCAGTGGAAGTGGGGCTCTTTTGATGTCCAAAGGCAAAGAATTTCCTGAGACCCTTATGGGAGGATGTGCCTCTATAGTACGATTTATTGGTGACGTACAATTAAGGGGACTCCCCTCCTGACTTCCCAACGTCCCCTCTCTGTCTGTCTCACCATGGAAGTCAATCTAATCTTGTCTCCAGTAGGGCCAAGATGAAGACTGCTGCCCAGAGTTTCTGCTCCATGGCAAAGTACAGTCCCGGCCGGCACCCAGCTAAGTTAGTGTTTCCAGCTGCAGTGCGTTGCCGTGCTACGGTACTCAGGCTTCCTCCTGGAGGCCACAGCCACGTGGCTAAGGCTTCATGGCCATGGAGAAAACAGGTGCATGCACCACCTGAGTGTGGGTCACAAGCAGGAGAGAAGAGAGGAGGGAAGAGAGTGCTCACACTTCTTTGTTCCCCTGGGACTATATTAGTTTAGGTTCGGGGTGGGCCAGGTACTTTCTCAAAAAAAAACAAACAAACAAAAAACAATCAACTTCCCAAGTTTTTGCAGGCTTTGGATAGGTTTACAGCCCCTAGTTAGACTGATAGGCCTCTATGGTCCAGCGTCTCTCCACGCGTCCCCCAACAATCTGGTGCTGGACTGAGGGGGGAAGGCTGTTAAGCCCTGTGGTGGAGCACTGTGCTGTAATCTCCTGGGGTGAGAAACTGCAGCTTCCTAGTGAAGCAAACAGCCTCATGCTTCCCATTTTATTAAGCTCAATGTCTAGTCCCCTTTACCAATATCTTGCTAGACACTGGTGGTAACAAAGTTATGAAGACAGATGGGGGAATCAAATATTCAGATAATTTGGAACTAGAATCTAAAGGGTTTGGCTACTGACTAGATGTAGGAAGGTGAGATGGAGGGTCAGGAGTGACACCCAGGTTTCTAGACTGGGTGGCAGGGTGAGTGGTCAGTGATGGACTGAGTTGAAATAGAAAAAGAATGCCACAGAAGCAGATTTGGTGAAGAAGAGAATGAACTGTTTTATGCATGATGAATGAGATGCCTGTGGAACAGCCACACAGAGGATATGAGGTACATGAGTATGAATTTCTGCTTTGGGCTGAAGAACCTTCATAGGAGATTCATCAACACAAATGTTGACGCAGAGGCGGTGGATGAGATCAGCCAAGTGAACTGTGCAGAGGTCAGTGGGGAGTGACACAGCAGAGTCTGCACGAGTTCAAACCCCAAACCTCACCCGTCAGGATCTAGGATCCAGTAAGGAGTATGTAACCACACCAGTTATTTCAAACAGAGATTTAATAAAGAGAATTCGTTACAAAGGCAACGTGTGCAAAAGGGAAAAAGAGAGTGGCCAGATGTGCACGCAGGGGAGAGGAACATCTGGAAATCAGAAGCTGATGTTGCCGAGCTGGAATCCCGTGCACACCTGCTGCTGCCCTAGGGCACACAGTCACAGTGGTCCTGGATCTACTTAAAAAGCTGTCATCTCCAGCAAGACTGGGTATCGCTGAGAAGACACCTGCTCTGCCCAGCAGGCGGGAGTCCAGAATTACCTGTTCCTGCTGCTGCTGCAACTACCTGCCACTTCCAGCCTGTTTGAGACGACAAAGCAGGAAGCTTCTCCGTTTCTCCTGCTTTCTGAGCTTTCTCCTACTGAGAACCTAATAGGAAGCCAAATGGCTACGAGGGTTCGAAGTACACACCTTGCATTCCTGGGCTTAGCATTCCAGCACATGGAGTAGGCACTCACTGTCACTGCATAATCGTACACTGAAATGCTCTAACTTGTGAGAATCTGGTGGCGGTGGGAGCATCTAAAGAGCTAGAACACAGAGGAAGCGGATTAAGAGAAATAGAGCTATTCCTTGAAGGGCAAGGTCAGCATTATCAATTAATTGCTACTCAGAAATCAAGGACTGAAGAGTGTCCTTTGACTTGTTAATTATGAGATGGTTGACAAATTTATGGAGAGCAGTTTCAGCGTTGTAGTAGGCGTGACTCCAGATGGCGGTGGGCTGAGAAGTGGGAGGTGAGAAAGAAACTCAGCGTATAGCTGCAAGTTTGACAGAGTAGAAAAGAGACAGAAGGCAATGGGCAAAGAAAGAACTAGTGTGGCCACTAAGTAATCTTAGAAATTGATCTGTTGATATGGTCCGTCCTTATTTGAGACTTTCAAAATCCATATTCCCTTTAGAAAAGCAAGTAACAGCAGTAACAACCCAAAACAAAAGCAACCAAGCCCATGAACTCCTGAATATTGAGATGTCAGTGGGGGGTAGGGGCAGGTGGTATGTGGCAAGCAGGGTGCCAGAGTAGGAGTAGGGTTTGGAAACCACTGTACTGCATCCCAAAAGCCAGAACATTTTCCCAATGTCCCCCCTTTGTGGACTAATCCATGTCAGTTGCTATGGTAGGAAGATTCCAGTCCCTAGGAAAGTAGAAAGTCTGTGACAGCACTGGGCTGGGAGGAGATGCATGGCACAGAGCCACGCACGGTGTCAGCAAACTTTTTCTGAGAAGGAGCTGACGGTAAACAGTTTAGGCTTCGCGGGCCTCTCCATCTTGGTCATTACGCAGCCTGGCTGCCCCAGGCAACACGTCAATGAAAGAGCAGACTGCTGTGTCCTCCTGCTCCTCCTCCCATTTCTTGAGCCTCTCCTTAGGTCTCCTTCCTGGACTACTTTCTTTCAGCTATTTTTTTTAAATATTGGTGTTCCTGGAGTTTTGTTTTTAACCTTTTTACCTCTGGACACTAACATTTAAAATTCATATAACTTAGATACAGAATATAATTTTTTGAAACATTTAAAAATCTAAAATCCCTTCAGTACTCGGGCTGGATTTTCCTCACAGACCATCATTTGCTTATACTGTTCTACATCTGTAGTCAGAATTGGGGTGGAGGACCCAAGATAAACCCACCCTCTAAAGAAGAGGCTCATTGGCCCTTGGAGATGACAACTGGTTAATGAACACATTCTGCCCCAGATACAACAGACTGTTCGGAAGGTCTGAAAGGGAGGGCTAGGAACATATATAGCAGACCTGCAACTCCTCTGGGTGGAACAAGGGAAAGGG